TGGTCAGAGAATGGAGCATACTGGTGACAGACATCAAACACATATTGCAGTAACTGTTGAGAAATAAAAAAAAAAGAGTATATTCTAGATTTAGAGGACAACAAATTATTACTCCAAGTATATTCCTTTACATCAGGGTGATAAAAGCGCCATGCATCTGCAATATGAAAATAATCATACAAAGTACAGATAATATTATTTGCGAGGCCTATTTTAGGAGGAAATCTGTCAGATTAATTATCTAATACATCATTAAAATCTCCAGCAATAATAATAAAGGCTTGTTGATATTTATTTTCCAAAGCTTCAATATTCCTCTGTAATAAAAAAAATAAGAGACTTGTTGGCAGATCTTAAGTTGTGGCCATATATATTACATATTATAAAAGTAGCATTATCAAGTTTAGTGACAAGAATAACCCATCTTCCTTCCGTAGAAATCAACGATTCAACAATATCTCCTTTAAATTCGTTAATCAAAGTGAGAACCCCAGCGGAGTGGTTAGATCCGTGACTAAAGTAGGCCTTGTCACCCCACTGTGATTTCCAAAAACGAACATCACTCTCACAGGAATGAGTTTCTTGTAACAGCATTAAGTCAGCATTCATTCTTCTACAGTATAAGAATAAGGCCTTTCTTTTAGTGAGATCTCTCAAGCCACGAGTGTTTAACGAGATAATACTCAGTTCAACTCCAAGTCTTGCATTTGCATAGGAGAAATTATTATTTTTTTTTTAATAAAACAGGAAAGAGTAACTTGAATAAGAACACTAACAAGAACACACAAAGGTTTTAAAGCTTACCGCTGTAAAACTGCGTCGACAAAGAGGTAGTTAAAGCTAGCACATACCCTATAACTTCGGCAACAGTGCAACTGTATGGGAAGGCATAACTTACTTGTGATGAAGGAACCACAACAGAGTATAAAACGTTCACTTTACTCCATAAAGCGATCTGCAATTAGAGTTTGTTTGACCATGCACAGCTCAGTAGTCAAGTTCGACTGCAGATGCTCCATGAAGGTAGTCTGCAAATAAAGAAATTAGTCTGTCCGAGCACAAATTAAACGTTCAATTGGAATGCTCTTTGAAGGCTGTTTGTAAATGAAAAACTGATCAAGCGCAACTCATGAGAAGAACACGTGAAGTAAAGTCAGTAAAACGTGAAAAACTATTCACGCGCAATTCTCAAGTTAAATTCAAATTAAGTTGCTCCATGAAGATAAGCTGCGAATATAAAATAGTACGTTGTACATCTCAAGGGTAAAGTTCAATTTTTTTCCCAGCGACAAAAGCATGGGGACCCTTCCATGAAACCTTCTTCCCCTCCTCAGGTTCGCATGGTAAAACGCATGATGATGTTACGAGGTGCTCTGTCGGATCTCCGTAGCCCCAGGCGGTGTACAGCATCAACTACATCATCCAACTCGTTCTGGATACTAGGGACCATCTTTCTTAGGATGTCGATTGTCACGCTTCTCGCATCTTCTCCGTCGCGCTCTGGGGACCCCTGTAGCTTGAGATTCCATCTACGTGAGTACCGTTGCATTTCATCGAAGCTTTCTTTCAGACTTACATTTTCAACTCGCAATTCCTTAATCTTAATATCTTCAAGTTGAACGATCTTGACAGCGTGCATCTTGACCTCTTCACTCATGTGGGAGACTTTTTCAGACAGTTTGTCAAGTTTTCCGCAAGAAACGGCAACCGTTTTATCAATGGAGATCACCTTGTCGTGTGTTTCACCCACTTTAGCAGTTAGCTTCTGAATCGCGTCAAGGAGTGTAGATAAGGAAACTTCGTTCATGCCTTTTGATCTCACAAGATTCTTGGATGGTGTAGAGCAGGGGTGTCAAACTCAATTCCTGGAGGGCCGGAGCCCTGCAGAGTTTTGTTCCAACCCTGCTCCAACACACATACCATGTAGTTTTCAAATAAGCCTGAAGGACTTGATTAGTTGGATCAGGTGTGTTTAATTAGGGTTGAATCTAAACTCTGCAGCGCTCTGGCCCTCCAGGAATTGAGATTGACACCCCAGGTGTAGAGCAAATAGGCCTCGCAAGAACCTCATCATTGGCACCGATTTCTGTTTCAAGATTAATATTCTCCATGTCGGTCGACTCCGTGCAGCATTCTTCCATGAGGTGTCCAGCTAGTATAGCGCTTTCGTGAAGGGACTGATTTTTCCTTTTTTTGCCCATTATATCACGTCAGAAGGTGCAAGTATTGCCAGAAAAAAATATCGAAAAAGCATACATTTTCAAAAAAGTAACTTTACATACTCAAATTTCAGTTTGTTAGCTTCAACCTCCTCAAACTACTTAGACGCGTATAAAACGTGACCATTCACACCGCTGCCATCTTGGCATTCCCCTTCATGACATTTGTTGTCATGACATCCAGTGAGCATATGACGTTTGACATAATCGGACGACATTTCACCGCTAATATGAGTGCTTTTTTTATTTATTTACTTTTGTTATCACTTAGATTATGGACATTTGACTTATAGCAGTGTCCAGTGTTTCCCATACAATTAATTATTTGCGGCGGTCTGTCACAGAATCAAAACTGATCGCCACAAATAGATTTTCCAAAAGGATTCTAACTTACTTCGTTTAATAAACTGAGCACTGCACGCTTCAAAATTAAAATGCAGCGCGGGTGTTTTTATATGAATGTATAATTGAAAAGAACCGACCGTCTTCAGAAAAGCTTTGATGTCATTTTCATTTCGTCTTTCATAGCGTTTTGTATTTGATTACAGCCGTTACCGGGGAAACCGCTATATCTCCGCTCCAACAGCGCCTCCTGATGGCAGAGAATCAATTTTGCAAGTCTGTGGGAAACACTGGCGTCTGTCAGCAAACATAAACAAAAAGCATGCTTCAGAACTGTTTTGAGAAGGTGCTTTGAGCCATGTATTATTACTATGAATTAGGCTACTACTACTACTACTACTACTATTACCATCTTGTGCCCTGCAATAATCATTTACTCAAACTCGCTTTTATGAGATAAAGAAGAAAAAAAAAAAAATCGGCCAAACATATCGGCCAAAAATCAGCATCACGTATCGGCCATCGGCTGCCCTGATTTCTAAATATCGGCATCGGCCAGTGAAAAACCCTTATCGGTCGACCTCTATTGCTGACACTTAAATTAATTGTTTTGCCACTTTTGCACTTTATTTAAAAAAAAAAAAAAAATTATTATATTATGCATGTTATGTATGTTTATTAAAAGCAAGTTTTGTAATAACCAATTGTTCCGGTCTGGACCTTTGACAAAAATTCAGATTTGGACCTTTAAATGTAGACTTTGAGAACCCCTGCATTAGAGTATTAAAGTGAAAGATTTCGGGATTATTGGATTAATTCAATTAATTCTTGATTTCAGACCCATAGGTCCATATCAAAAAAGTAAAAACATACAAACATACATTTACAAACAACAAACATTATTTAAAAACATACGGACTTTTAATTCCAGTGTTTCCAAAAACAGGAGAAACATCTTGTATCACTAAATGTAAGATTATTTAAGACCATTATGACTGTATTTTTTAATTACTTTATCGACACATACACTGCTGTTCAAAAGTTTGGCATCAGTAGGATTTTTAACGTGTTTTAAAGAAGTCTCTTCTGTTCCTCAAGGCTGCATTTATTTGACCAAAAATACATAAAAAACAGTAATATTGTAAAATAATAATACCATTTAAAATAATGGTTTTCTATTTTAATATAGGCCTACTTTAAAATATAATTTATTTCTGTGATGCAAAGCTGATTTTTCAGCATCATTACTCCAGTCTTCAGTGTCACATGATCCTTCAGGAATTATTCTAATATGCTGATTTATTATCAATGTTGGAAACAGTTGTGGTGCTTAATATTTTTTTTTTGGAACCTATTATACTTGTTTTTAGGATTATTTGATGAATAAATTTAAAAAGAACAGCACATATTTAAAATAGAAATATTTTCTAACAATACAAGTCTTTATTATCACTTTTGATCAATTTAACACATCCCTGCTGAATAAAAGCCTTCATTGCTTAACAAAATGAAGAAAACTGATCCGAGATCATTTGCTGGCGTATACTTGGAATTGGACTGATATTTTTGTTGCTAAATGGGTGATTAGAAACTTTTATATGCAAGCTGACTGGTATTATTTCACAACTCTCTCTTTACTCCATTAGAGGGCGTCGTTTATTAAACGTGAACCGGAAATAATAGTACAATTGACCTGTTCTTATTTTTTAAGCGGTTTTAAAAATGGCGACCGTGAAGAGGTGTATGTTTACACTTATTAATGCGATTATAACGGCTCTTATCATAGAAAGTCAATGTCGACTCCATCATCTCATACTTAAGGTATGTGTGTGCTGTGCTTTAAATGTTTTTGTAGGATATTCTTATAGTCGCTGTGTTTCCTTCATTGTTGTTTAATGCAACGGATGCTGTTTTAAGATTAACCAGTCATAACCGTTTTGTTGTGATAATGAAAGTGCATAGTGATGATGTAAACGCATCTCGTGCGCCGCTAAACAGACTCGTTCTGTCTCAGGATGACATCCGTCAGCGGGTCCATCTGAACACTTTCGGCTTTTATAAAGATGGTTACATGAGTATGAGCATGAACAGCCTCAGCTTCACTAATGGCAGGACGGACAACATTGACAGCTCCACGGTCAGTCTCTCTCTCTCTCTCTCTCTCTCTCAATTAATTTCAATTTCAATTTAAGAGTGCTTTATTGGCATGACAAAAATTATACATTTGTATTGCCAAAGCAATTGCAGCTGGACTGCTTACAAATAATTTGCCTTGCTTTACTGTGTTGATGTGGTTGTGGTTTGTGATTTGTACCAGATGATTTGTGCTCCTGGGTCTCTTCCCTGTCGGACTGTGTTGAGTTTTTGTGATGGTAGGATGATTTCTCTGTAGTTGGGTGGGCAGCGGGTGATGGTGTCTGCCCTGCTCCATGTCTCCTGTAGAATTATAATATCCATCTCTTTGATGCTCTTCTGAAATTCTGTGTTTGAACTCTTTAGTCCAAAGGCTGTTGAATTCAAGCCTTGAATATTCCACATTGATATTGATAGAGTCATTTTAAGTGTGTGTGTGTAGGTGTTGCTCTTGTACATTATTTGACCAGTTTGGAGCAGATGATGTTGAGCAGGTGTCTTATATGATTGAGTTCTGCGGCTGCAGGGTTTTGTGGCTGTTGGACTGCTGCGGCGTAGCTCTGTGATGGTGCTCCAGGGGTCGAGTCCTGTCTGCTTCTTGGAGGAGGGGGGACGTTTCTTTGTGGCTGGGAGCTGCTCTTGCTGTGTAGATTTCTGTCTCCTGTTTTACCCTCTCTCTCTCTCTCTCTCTCTCTCTCGTGTCTGTCAAATTAGATTCATTCACTGCGCCATAATAATATGGTCAAATAAACCAATATGAAAATGTCTCGGATGTTATTAATGATAACCATATACGAGAAAATTTCTCCTTGTCAGAAAATGAAAATAAATATTTGTCACCTGCAGTATGTTGATGGGGAAAAACTGGCTGTAGGGTTTCTTCTTGCAATAATCTTTTTAATTTATATTAATTTTTTATTATAAATGCATTTATTTATTTATTGCAGATTGGGTTTAGCCTAGATCGTGCAAGCAATAATGGCTTCTCCTCATATCTGGTCAGTATCTGCCTTTGAATGTCCATCTGAATGTATTTCTGTGCTGTTGCTGTGTAGTTTGGGTATCAGTGTTGTGTTGTGTACTAAATGTGTCTGTAGATTGTTATTGTTAGTTTAAGCTAAATGTCTTATTAACTTAATTGAAGTTAGTATTAGCATAAATTAACCGCTGTAACTTGGCAATCTTGTCAGTTAAGGATATAATAGCATTACAGTATGATGTAGTTATTAGATTAAAGCTAACATTACATTCAGTCATTCATTGTATGATTGTCAGTCAAACTGAGTCAGATGATTAATGACCTCTCTTATGAATACACAGGACGAGGGTCTTGACTACTGTCCTCTGAAAAAAGATCCAAGTAGTAATTTTGCAGGGGTGCTTCTCTTGCTGGACTTCAAAAATAACTTGTGAGTTTTACTTTTTAAACTCTTTACACTTTTTATTTATTCCTCATTTCTTTGGGAGTTTTATCCAGTTTATGAATGTTCTGTCATGACTTGCAATATCCTCAGAGTGAGGAAGAAGACTTCAGCAGAGGCTGGAGTGTTTCCTAACATCATACCTGTGGTGCCCAAAAACATTGCAGAGGAGCTGCCAGCTGAAAAGGGGCAAGATCTCCAAGACAAGGGGCCAGATGATGAATCTCAGTCTAAGAGTAAGTCTTTCTTATCTTGAACTGTATATCACATCATGGGATACACTACCGTACAATATCAAATTTGGGGTCAGAAAGATTTTTTTTTTTGTAAATAAAATTAATACTTGTGTTCAGCAAGGATGCATTAAATTGATCATAATTACAGTAAATATATATTGTTACAAAAGATTTATATTTCAACTAAATTCTGTTCTTTTGAACTTTCTATTTATCACAGAATCCTGGTAAAATATAAATATTTACACCAACTAACTGTTCAACACTGATAACAATAAGAAATGTTTCTTGATCACCAAATCAGCATATTAGAATGATTTGTGAAGAATCATGTGACACTGAAGACTGGAGCAATGGGTGCTGAAAATTCAGCTTGCCATCACAGGAATTACAGGTTAAAATATATTCAGTTGTTTTATAATTTACCATGCTACTGTTTTTTTGGTTAAGTAAATGCAGCCTTGGTGAGCATAAGAGACTTTTCAAACAGTAGTCTATATATGTTCTCATCCCATTTGTGTTGTAAATGAAAGCCTTTTAATTCATGCAATTATAATGTTGGTTTTACATTCCTGTTTTGTATCAGTCTCCTTTTCAGTTAGATTTTGTGTTTCTCTCCTACTAATTTGTAGCGGGTTCTAAATCCAAGCGAGATGTTGAGGTGAGATCTGTTTTTAATTATTTATGACTGCATTTAGTCTGAAATAACTCTTAATGTCTTAATTCTGCATTAACTGATTTTGATGTTGTTAGTCCCCCCAGAACAAGGCAGAAGATACCTATCCTCTTCAGAACGAAGGCAAAATCTACTCATTTCAGGTATGACATGAAGTGGTTTTGCTGAGAACTCGTGGGGCTCTGAAGTACATCAAGCTAGTTCTGAACTAATTTCTAGGTGTACTTTTAACATCTTCCCAATTGTGCACTCCATTGACTGACCTGTTCTTGTTTTAGTTTTACTTCAATGTCACAACAGATGAGCTGCAAGGCCTTTATAACTTTTATTTCTACAACTGCTACTCCATGCCAATAAACCAGGACAGCTCTGTGTCAGACATGCTGCCTTTCAGCATTGATGTGAGTGTTTCTGATTTCTAAAATGCAATGGCCATAAATGTAGTGAAGTACAAGTCATACAGTACAAATCTATACTCAAGCAGTAAGTATGATTTCAGATCAACATCAAGGAGAAGAATCCAGACAGCTTTCTCTCAGCGGGAGAGATTCCTTTACCTAAGCTTTACATCTGCATGTCCATGTTCTTCTTCCTCATCGGCACGCTGTGGATTCATGTTTTGCGTACCCATAGGTAAGTGCTACAATAACAGACATTATGTACATTTTCTATTTGACAGTTTCATACAAGAAATGACCAGTAGAGAGCAGCAAAATCATGTCTCTGATTGTCTCCTGTAAAATGAATAAAACAGATTTTGTGTACAGATTACTGTGTACTTCTCTCTCTTTTTTTTTTTTTTTTTTTTTTTTTT